TACATGCAGCAGTGAGCTTCATTATAGTATGTGTACATGTGAGCACATTTCAAATACGATATATCATGGTCATTCTTTGCTCAAAAAACAGGCAGTAAATTATATGCCAGGACAAAATAAAAGAAAGCACAAATGCAATACATGCACACTTGTCCATGTTTTATATCTTTTAATGACCCTGGAAGCACAGTAAACTACCTGTTTATCAGCCCTGCCCATTGTCTTCTGTTAAACTACTCAACCACTCCCTCCATCTTCTTATCCACAACATTGGGACTAATTGACTAGTTCATTATAATAAAAGAAAGGGCTAAATAGTTCTTTATAGTTCCTTTGGGATAACATAGAAAGTGTGCTTAGAACACATGATATAGCTCATCAAACAGATATAACAATGCTATGAAATATTTAACATACCAAATAAAAGAGATTTGTTGCTTGGGTTTGCATACACTTTAAGCAACATGAGGCCCAAATTCACTAAGCTACAACACATGTTCTAATTTATCCAAGTGGTCGTATAGCAGTTAGCAGTTACTTACATTCAACCAGACTTGTTCTGTTATGTTTTGATATTCATCTTAGTAAAGTCAAATGAGACGCAGAAATATATCCCAGTATTGGTAGCCATATAGGTAACTTAGTCGTCTTAATTGCACTTTGTACGGGAATTGTTCCCATAGCTTAGTGAAAGTGGTGAAATTTCACTTTGCAAAAAATACACAATCATGTGCAAGGCAAATAAACATCAATTTTGCTTGCACAAAACAGGGATGATGGAAGTGAGCAGTTTCACCTCATTCACCAAGCTCTGGAGAAAATTCCAATGAAGAAGACATCTTCCCGTGCAAACTGAACAGGCTTTGCCTTTAGTAAATCAGCCCCAATATACTGTGTCAAGGCAGATACAGTATGAGTATCACACCTCCCAACATATTCTTGTACAATCAACATCTCAACAGACTCACTTCATGGTGATTAGATGAAAATGACTGTTTCCTGTGTGAATATAAATACTAGGGTACGTTCTTGACATTCATTAGAACCAAGGATGCCACTTGGATGAGGGACAAAAGTCTTCAACACTACAGAACAGGTTAACTGTGAGTAACTACTACTAGCACTATAACACTTGTTTTTGTTACATAATGATTTTTTAGACATGTGACTGTAAATTGCAACTCTCATTGGCTACCTTTTCTGAAAATTATGGTCATTATGAGGGATAACATTTGTTATAGCTTCTTGAATTGAGCAATTTATCATTAAAGCAAAATAGGTTCTGGGATGTGTAAGTCAAAGCAGCCTACAGCTTGCAATGCACAATGTCTTTTAATAAGCCCCAGGGGTTAAATAAACTAAACATATCAATATCCTATCCAAGCTAGACAGCTTAGGTGGAGGAATATACTGGCTATTTTATCCACAACTGTCAGAATACCCAAACATACCTGTATCTGACTGAATGCAGCTGCTGCTCAGCTAATAATTTTCCACGGGGCTTTTGATTTTTGGATTGAAGGATTGCTGAATTGGTAGGCTGCTGAAAGGGCCAAGCACAGCTTAGCCGGATTATCCAGAACCAGTCAAAGTTTACTCCACATATGGCCAGCTTTAGGAAATTTAGGCTTATGCATTAAACCACATTGACCCTGGTGTGCCTTACATACACTTAGGTTCAACTACTGCCTAGTATTATACTGTAGATTTAGGCTGTCTTTTGTTAAACTAGACTTGGTACCAACCCATGAACATATTACATCGAATGTAGATTCTATTTTCACAAGTGTAAAAAAAAAAAGAACACATACCTGTAATTAAATATATAAAAAAAAAACACACTGAAATATTTATGTAAAATTAAAGCAGTCCTTTATGTCCTATCTTTTGGAACTTTTAATGGAAGGCAAATGTTAGTGAGTTCAACATTATACTGCAAGTAAAATAGACATATAAATTAATGAAGGGGTACAGCATAGCTGACAATAGACCACGCTTTAGAAATGTATTCATTTAATACAACAATCATGGTGGAACACAGATACTTTTCCTGTGGGTGATACATTTGAACTTTACTCTGTTCACTTTGAGTAATGGAACTGAATGATGAAAATGTACACATCATTGTTGGATGGAATGTGTCCCTATAGCCACTATTTGGGCTTACCGGCAAACCTAACACTGACAACACCTTACATAGAAAGTGCCTGTTATATGGGTATGAGTCCCTTTAAATTCAGTGCTACTGGATCAGAATCAAGAGCTCCCTAACCACAAGGCTTATTTAGTGAGGCAGTGGGAGAATTTCTCTGGTCCTATTTGGTGAAGATTACAATGTGATAAAAACAGTTTTTATTACTAATACTTTTCTATCTGCTGGTATGTAGATTTCCCCAATCTTAAAGCTGAACTCCAAGTACGAATTTTATGAGCTTGGACCAATGTAAGTATGCATATGCCATACCTGCTGGACCACTGTGTAAGAGGATAATCACTATAGTATTCTACTACAGTGATTGCCACTATTTTCCTTGTCCCATGCAAAGTTGTTGCCCTATTGCATAGTAACCACAAGAGGTCTATCGGGACTGGGACCATTCACAGAACGCCTTCCATTTTTCTCAATGAAAAATTGGAAAAGGTGGAAAGGAGTAGAAAGGCAGTGACATCATGATTGCCATTTCATCCAATCAAAGAGTGCTTTGTATTCATTGATAAAAATGCAAGGTATTCTGTGAATGGTATCCTGCTGAATGAGTGAATTCTAATGGTTGCAATGCAGCAGGGCAGTCACTTAGCACCAGACCCGGAAGACAGTGGCGATCACTGAAGTAACAGCAACTACTACAGCGATTGCCTGCTTCCACAGGGATCCCACTGGTATGGAAAATGAATACTTATATGCTACCATTTGGACCAATGTAACTATGTACTAAAAGCCATAACTAAAGTTCAGCTTCAGTACATTCTGTGGATAGCCAGATGAACTTTGCGTAAGCCTGTCATGAGAGTAATACAGGTGCTGTCATTTCTGAGGTCCTTCTGAAAATGCTAGCTTGCTGTCTGTTATGCTGACCTTCTGCCTTTATAAAAGAACTCTTATGATCTTTTAAAAATAAAATAGTGTTTATTTTATTTTACCTTTTGTATTCCTTTTTTGTAAGAAATGCAATCATTTTCTTACAAAAAATCTTATATTTCGTTAGTCAATTGCTTCATCTCTGTTCCCCCCATAAATATTCCTTATTTGTGGGTGTTACTGCTTGTGCAATGCACTGCCATTCATGCCTGATTACTTATTCATCCTCTTGATACAGTATTGTCAATAATCTTTGGGGGGAGGAGGGGTGCGCAGTCAATTACTGGATCTCTGCTTTTTGCAGCATGAACAAAGATGGTACAAAGTGCCAAATACACTGTACCCTAGGGGACCAGATCTTCAAGGTGAGACCTCATCTTTAATGGTGATTGACCCACAACAAGCTTTCAGAGCAGAAAAGTCACAGGGAAATCAGAAGTTCTTATCCATATACTTGCTCTGGGTCAAAGAATCAAAATATTAATGCTAAAGTCAGACAGTTAAATTTTTCAGTTGGAGGTCAGCAATGGCAGCCTCCATGTTTCTCATATGATGGGCATGTTTTAGGCCATCACTTACAGTTTGCAAAACACAAACCTCAGAGGAAGCATTTCTGCTAAACCAATATGGGATATAAAAATTGGAGTCTGCAAGAACTTTGGGAATGCCAACACTGGCAAGTTGGAGTGTTTCAGCTTTTATTAGCGATAATGTATTGAATAGAGTCGTTAAATTTTTTTTATATGATACTGGGGTTGCCATTATTAACTTAATTATCCATGACAATTTCCTGGCTGTTGTGGTGGCCCTCTAGTTTCAACACCTTCTGAGTTTCTGACCCAAAACAGGTATGCAGATCAGGACTGCTAATTTTCTCTGACTTACCAGATCTGCATACTCTTTTCTGAAAAAGAGGCTCAGAAAGTACAGAAATAGCACTTTCAGGAGGTCGGCGGTAGCATTTACAATATTTTTTTTTCATGACAAATTTACTTGAATGTGCCAACCACAGTAATCCATAGCAAACAATCTGATTTTATTGTTCACTGAGCTGAATGAAATAAACTGACACTTGATTGGTATATATGGGTCACTGGCTTTGTTTCTGTATTTAATAAGCCAATAAGAGTGCTGTGTATTTATTTTGCAATTATGTAGGGTGGTCATACATCTGAGAAAATCAAACAGTGTAAACATTTCAGACGATGCATATGATAATAATCAGACCATTAGAAAAACTTGCACAAAGACATATTCCAAAATCTTTGTGATTGCTCTCTTATCAGTGGAAAAAAAGGAAATTAAGTATTCATTATTTATATTCTAGACCACCATGTATCAGGAACATCTGGAAGAAGATGGAAGCAGACTATATGGGTCATATAAATATGTAAGGCCACACTAAGGGGCCGATTTAAAACGGAGAGTGGATATCTTTATCTGCTGGACACTGCAGTGTTTACTCCACACCGCACTTGCATTTTACACTTTCATTAATAAAATTCAGGCTATGATGTGGAGCCTGCAGTGTTTTGTAACTGATTACATTATACATCAAATGTTTTGCTATAGAAATCTGTCATAATCTGGTGGATCTGATAATAATGGCCATTGGCAATATCTACTGAATGTTGTGCGTGCCATGAATACATTTGCTGATGTCTTAGATGTGGAATGACTTGAAAAATGAATATAATTTTTGTGCATTTAATAATTTGGTTAAATATAAAGAAATATTGATATCTGAGTTTCCCTTTTAGGTTCACCTTTTCAAGTTCAGAAATTGAGTCTTATACCTTTTTAACACTTATCCCTGGACAGCCTAAAAAATGTCTTTTCTGTGGCACAAGCAAACACAGTTCAAGCAATACATTAGGCTCTACATTGTCCGTTTGACTTCATTTTCAGTCATAGTGATATTCTACTGACTGGTGTCCACCCTGTACAGGGCCCTCTGGTTAGCTGGCAAGGATTTCTGCTCCAGGTCCCACACAAAATATCGGAGATGACATAGCTGCTTGTGGAAGGCATCACTGGTTAATGGCTGTGAGAGCTGCATGCGGAAGTTGTCACAGGGCAGGATAAGTGGAGGATGATCTGTGAAGCTCTCAAAGATATCTGCTGCGAACAAACAAGGAATGGAGTCAGGAAAAGTTTTTAAAATAGATAGCAAAGCTACAGTAGATTCATTGTAATGTTTTGAAGGGAAATGTGACAGTAAGCAGGAGATCCCAAACAGTTAGGGAAACAACTAGTGCTTAGAATAAATTAAAGTGATTGTAAACTAAATAGAAAAAAAAAAACAAACAGGTTTAAACTTACCTGAAATGGAATTTCACAGAGCAGCCTCTTCTCGGGTCCCCTTCGACACTCCTAGCTCCTCCACTTCTTGATGTGCCACTCTAAGAAGCCACTTCCTATCATGGCACACCTGCGGTCTCAAGCCCAAGCCATGCTGCCTGTGTCCATAGACACAGACATTGAAACTTGGCCCCACCCCCTGCTCCTTCATCACAGAATTTGACTGACAGCATCAGGAGCCAATGGCTTCCGCTGCCGCAACAAAGTCTGTGAGCCTGGGAAGTGAGGAGACACTCGCTGCAGATGGACACAACACTGGATCAAGTGAGGAATTGTTTAGGTTTTAGAACCACTTTAAAGTTAGGAAGGGAGATACAATAATTTGTATAAAATATAATTTCTAATCTTTCCTGGATTATTAAAATTACATTAGTGGGTAACATGTCCAGCAGTAATAGTGATGCACCTCAGAGCACATCCTGTGCCATGTAAATGTTCCTTGAACAGCCTTTCGAGGGTGAATACTGCTGTGCATAACTTGAGCAAATTGTTTCCTTTCAAACCCAGATACTGAATCTAAGGAAGCAGCTGGTATGTTCACAAATGCTAGACGTTTAGTTAATAAAATGGAGGAACTGGAACTGCTGATACATGAGGAGGATTTCAACTTTTATGGGAGTATCGGAAACTTGATTTGACAGCTCAAATGACTGGCTTGCGACTGTCCAGGAGTACTCCCAGTATTGGAGGGACATGGAAAGTAGAAGAGGGGGAGGAGTGTGCCTTTATGTCAAGTGATTTGCTAGTGAATATGAGGGATGACATAACTAATAGGGCAAGGAAGGAAGTGGAATTATTGTGGCTGGAGCTTCAAAGGGAAGAAACATATTGGAAGTTAATAATAGATGAAAAATAAAGAGGAGACCGATCTCCTCACACAGTTAGAAATGGCAGTGAAGCAGGGCAATGTTATTATCATGGGAGATTTTATTTGGATGTTGACTGGGCAGATGGAACTGCTCACTCGTATAAGTCTTGTCCTTTCTTAAACATCCTGCAGGACGATTTCATGTGTCAATTGGTGGATGCCCCAACTAGAAATAATCCTAGATTGTAAGCTCGTAAGAGTAGGGCCCTCTTACCCCTCGTACGCTGTCTGTCTTTGTTGTACTGTGCCATGTATTGTCCCCCCCTATTGTACAGCGCTGAGCAAACCCTTTGGCGCTATATAAACTCGTAATAATAATAATAATAATGCTCTACTTGATCTACTAATTACACATAACAGATCTTATTACAGATGTGGAAGTAAGGTAAATGGCAATAACCGGGTAATTACATTCACTATAAATCATAAGAAAAGGAGACACAAGGGTAGTACAAGAACATTCCATTTTAAAAGAGCTTTACTAAACTTTAGTAAGCTGTGCTCCATACTCCATGACATTAAATGGGATCAAATTCTAGAAACAATGTTGAAAAATGTGAGTGAAATGTATGTTCTTGTTTTCCCACAAAAAGAGATTTCTTTCGGTGGTATTTGACCGCCTGTGCGGTTCTTATTTTTTGCGATATACAAAAAAGACCGTCAATTTTGAAAAAAAAAACAAACAATATTTTTGACTTCTTTGTTAAAAACATATCAAATAAAAAAATTTTAAAAATCAAATTTCGTCATAAATTTAGGCCAAAATGTATTCTGCTACGTCTTTGCTAACAGAAAATCCTAATACATGTAAATTGATTGGTTTACATGAAAGGTATAGCATCTACAAATGGTGGTATATACAGTATACTGGAATTTTTATTCTTTTATATTAGTAATGGTGGCGATCAGCAACCTATAGCAAGACTGTGAAGGGCACTCTGACACTGGGGAGGAACTGACTAACTGCCACTGACATCCCCAGTGACACTAATACAGTGATCAGTGATAATAAAAAGCACTGACACTGTACTAATGACACTGAGCAGGAAGTGGTAAACATCTGGGGCGATCAAAGGATTAACTGTGTGCTGTGTGTTTCACATTATGTGCCGTGTGCTGTTTTACAACAAAGACATGCTGCTTTGTATTTCTCGGCTGTGCAGAGAAATACAAAGCTGCATATCCTTGCTCACAGGAGAGAGACCTGTGTTGTTTACACACAGGTCTCTCCCGTCAGCTTTCCCCGACGATCACTGAGTGTCGGCAGCAGTGGGATCTTTGGTTTGAAAAAAAAGCGCACAGGTGATCAAATACCACCGAAAGAAAGTTCTATTTGTGTGAAAAAAAGGACATAAATTTTGTTTGGGGCAGCATTACATGACCGCGCAATTACCAGTTGAATTAGTGCAGCGCCGAGTAGCAAAAAGAAGCCTGGTCATTAAGGGGGGTAAATCCTCTGGAGGTGAAGTGGTTAACATACTGTCATCCTAGCAGTACAGTGTCACCATGGTGACACTGTACTACTTGTGAGGGGGTGATGAAGATTTTTTTTTTTTTACACTGATTGCTTTTACACACATAAAGGCTGTAAAAGAAATCATTTCTCCTTCTCTCTGGCTGAATTCTTGCAGCCATTGAGAAATACTGTGTGAGCTGTGATTGGTCACAGCTTGTCACATGGTACAAGGCTGTTGTGAATAGCCTTACACCATGTGATCTCTGTGATCATTCACATATTTCACACATAGTAAGCAATGATGTCAGAAGTGACATCTTGCTTACACCTATTCATGTGATCATCGATTGGCCAATCAGTGATCACATGATCGGGACCTCACACAGAGGTCCCGTACAGCGATCGGTGTACCGCTGTGTCCCAGGGAGCGCGCACATTCCAAAATGGCGTGTATGATCGGCAACCCGCCCCTACACTGCCACCTTCTGGCTGTTTATATACAGCGTTCGGACGGTAAGTGGTTAAAGGCATAGTTCACATTTACCAAAAAAACGACCTATGCAGCTAAGGAAGAAAACAAAAAGCTGCATTGCTTTGTCCAAAGTTGAATAATGCTCTTGCTATAAATGTAGACTGTGTATGTACCTCATGAAGCCTGACTGTAAAACTCCTAATACATTGCTAAGAGAGGCCTAGCTGTTACCTTTTACCTTCAGCATCACAGAATTGAGCTCTTCCTCCAAATCAAAATGCCTCACACGTGCATTCTCTGCCCAGAGGCAGCGATGCCGACATTAACATTTGAGAACTCACTCCTGTAATGGTGGGGGTGAACAGTAACAACTAGATGTCTCTTTGCCGTGTCCTAGGAGTTTTCCAGTCAGGCTTCATGAGGTAAGTAAATGGCCTACAGCTATAACAAGGGCAATATTCAACTTTGGTCACAGCTGTATAGTTTGTTTTATCTACACCGCCCCTTATCTGCATAGGCAGTTCTTGGTAAAGGTGGACTAACCCTTTAAAAGACTATCACACATCTGCTGAAACAATACTCGCATAGTATAGACTGTATGGAAATGCAATGGCCGTGCTAATGTGATTTGTTTCCAGACTTGCACCATTTCCTAAAGTCCCAGGACAGATGGTTTGTGACCTTATGCAAGATGTTCTTCTCTGACATCCTGCTGGAAACATCATGTATTTCAGGAGTTGTAGGAGCTCCTGGGTTTGCCCAGGATGGATTTGCATGCATCTCAAAACACAAATTTAAATTGTGATTCACATATGTACAGTTTTCCGGTGTGCCGTCTGTCACTAATGTTCATTGTTTACCATATAAACTAACTACCCTTATATCCAAGATAATGCATTTTTGTGGCAGTATACTTTATATCAAGGGTTTTCATTTTGTATACTTTACTTTTTTATGTTTATTTCTGCCTAGTGGCATAAGATGCACATCATCAGTAATATACTGATGATTAAAATGCATTTAATTAACTTAAATTCAACATATAATGCAACATCTGTAAAAGTAAAATGACTAACTGGAGCTTCAGTTCAGTGGCCAGACATGTCCACGAAACCCACAACATTCTGTTATGCAAATACTGACTTCAGCTAAGAAGTCGTTACTTTGGCCTTACTCATCTTGCCGCCTTCACTTTAATTATTGGTCAGTGATGATGATCACAGTGAAGTCAACAGTGAGGCATGAGAAGGGATGAAAACTGATATCTGCATGATAGAAAATTTGGGGCTCCCTGCTATCTGTTATTGAACTGAAAAAGTGGTTTGGTAACTTTACCTGTCACTTTGAAGGTTCACTTTAAATATTCCACTGCCCAGATCTTATCTAGTATGATGACGAATGGCGTGGATCAGAAAAATTTTACTAAACCCAGGACCCTGCATTCACTATATCTGGTCTCCCACAGTACATAGAACATGGAAGTGCAATTATTTTAGTAAATATAAACTGCTAAATATCTTTTCTCATCAGCAGTTAGAGCAGTCTTTTGACTTCTATCAGTGATTAGCAGAGCACTGGTTAAAGCTTGTAAGAGGAGTTTTCATTTTGCTCTGACTGTTCTATGAGGCTATCTTCTGCTCTAGGAGGATGCAAAACCCCTGACCTCTGTCTGGACAGAGCTGATTGGCCCTGTGCTGATCACATGCACTCTCCCAAGAAAAAAAAAAAAAACCTCTCTAGCAATACACACTAAACTGAGCATGTGCAGAATGGTTACGGTTTAGTCTGTCTTATCAGGAGATAAAAACGTGGACATTTGAACAAGAGAAGGAGCAGAGAAGAAGAGATCAAACGGCCTGTTTACACAATGCAGAGGATTAACCCCTTTGATTCCACAGTGAGTATAACAAGCATGCTTTACTGCATATACAGACTGATTTTACTGTTGTGGGTTTAGTAGCACTTTAATGGTTGGTCTAAGTTAGCCTGCTTTCCTTTCTGAACAAATGTGATTGCCTTTAAAAAGTTAACCTCTTTTCTCCAACTAAAACTGTGAAAACCTTGCCAGTTCTGTTTCCATTTTTTTCTTCAGCTAGCAGATGAGCATTGCAATAATATTTCTTAACTCCACATCCACAGAAGTCACAAGGAAGCGGAATCAAAGAGAGAAGGGCAAAGTACAAGGTCAGACTGCACTTATTGAACTCACTGTTTGTGATCTCATCCTTTTCCTCTTCAGGGGGGTCCCAAGCAGCTGGATGTGACCGTCCCACTCCTAGATGATAGTTTCTCAACAAGTGGTTCAGCTGAGCAGCGCTTAGTGCAGGATAATCATTCCTCAGAGTGCTCCAGGAAAGCTGTATTAGAAAAGCACAAACCTTTATTGATTAATGTTTTTATATGCAGAGATCACAGAGGTGCCTTAGCATACTGTACACTGGAGGAAAACATTCTTTTACTGGCATGATGTTATATAAAGCAATGTTCCTTTAATTCCACTCATATCTGTCACTTACTATGAGCACACTGCCCAAACAAATGTGGACTAAAGCTCAAGCGGCCTGGTATCTCATACAAAGATCTAGGTATTAAAGCAAACCTGTCATCAGAGAAATATGTAAAGCCTGCTATTTCTGACATTTTCCCAACACACTAGTTTCCTGGCTGTCATGCTGATGCTTTCACTTCAATTCTTACGGAGTCGCTGACATACAATGATTACATGGATAAGGAATTCTTTCATTTGCTGCATGTTTGTTCCTGATCTGTAATTCAGCAGTACTGAAGCCAGACTGGCAACTAGCATTTTTAGGCTCCATACACACTGGGCGTTTTAATAACGCTGGTAGCGTTAACTATGTAAAGTCAGGGCCTGGACTGGGCAAAGCTAAAAGGGAGGGCCAGCATGACTGGGGCTTGCAGACGAGGTGGAGAATGGATTGGGTGGGAGTATATGCAGGAGGTGGAGGTGGTTACTCACCTGATTGGAGTAAGCGAGCTTGAGGGTGGTCTTGCCAGGATGAGGAGAGGGGTTGGGACAGTCTGAGCTTGTGCCAGCACGAGTGTGGTTTCTCCCACCCTCCCTCCCTGGAGCTATTTGTTGTTTTGTTTTGCTGTTTTGTTTGCTTTGGTTATTGGTTTGTCCTTTTGTGTTTGTCTTGTGGTTTGTTTTGTGTGGGTTCCTTTATTTTATTTTATTTTCTTTGGTGTCCTGTGGTGTATGTCTGGTTTTCTGTTTTTGTCATGGCAGCCGGCAGGGGTCACTGGGTCTTTGAAGGTGGTGCTGGAGTGATAATTTGGTGGATTATGGGTTGGGCTCATCGTAGGTATGGGTGTTCCTTCCCAATTATAAGGTCATGTTGGTAAAGTGGGAGTTCATTGGCTGTATCTGGGACTACGTAACTGCAGTATGTCTCCAAGGTGGTGTAGTAGGGGCTGGGAGCCCTTCCATTGGGTGTCAGATACAGCCGAGTTATTGACATACTAAAGTTGGCATAGACAATCTCCATATTGTCAGTAACAGTGCCTTTGAAGACCTTGGACCCGGTTGGGATCATTACTGGCAGTTATTATTTGATTGTACTGTAGAATGTTATGTACAAGTTATGTTAAATAAATGGGCTGCTATGGCCAGTTGTACACCAACAGGAGAGTCGCGTGGTTATTTAGGTGGGGGAGGTTGAAGGGGTGGTTGTTTTAAGGTTTAGGTGGTAAGTATTAGCCTCGATATTCTGCATGTCCCTCAGTCAAGTCATCTTAAAAACGTTGAGTTTTTCAGCATTTTGCAGTGTTTTTGCATTAGCGTTTAGCTGCTTTTTTTAGCTTTTTTTTTGTACACAAAAAAAAAATGTTTGCTCAAAAAAAGTCCAAAACCAGAGGTTTGCAGCGTTTTATTATGTCTTTTAGCATTAGAGCATTTTTACAGATAAAAAACTCTAGAAAAAAAAACCCACTAGTTCTGGGTTTTTTTTGCCAGCCAAAAAACAGTGATTAAAGATTATGTGTACATGGACACATAGGATAACATGCTGGGCAGTATACTGGCTGCAGAAAAAAAATGGCAAAAGCCAAAAACAGCAACTGTAAAAACGTCCAGTGTGCATGAGGACTTAGGCTGACATAGTCTCTCCCCCCCCCCCCCCCCCACAGGTATTGGACAGGACAGATATTTTAAAAATCTGAATTACCAGCAAGTGGCTGGGGATTTGGATTTCCCCTGGCAGCCACCATAGGGCACCAGGGTAGCTGGTGGGCAGAAAAATCCCAATCCCCAGCCACTTGCTGGGAGTTCAGATTTTTAAAATACCTGCCTTCCGACGATCCCCTTTATTGTCCTCCTGGAGCAGATGAAAGGTAGCATCTCCTCCTTATCCTCCCACCAGCGTACAGCTGCTGCAGCAGGAACATCCAGGGGATTGGTTCCAGTAAACGCTTCCCCCACTGCCCCTCCCATCCTTGTTCCTCCTTTTTTCTGATGCCTATCCCTTCCTCCAAGTGCTCCCCTTTCAACAGGGCTCCTAAAAAAATTGTGAAAAATATTAAAAAATAAAAAATGTAAAAATAAAAACTACTGACACCAACCTCTGCCATACTGACACCATCCACTGTGCTACTGACTGATACCAACCTCTTCCCTGCTGACTGATCCCATCCATTGCTCTACTGACACCATCCACTGCTCTACTGACTGACAACAACCACTGCCCTACTGACACCGTCCACTGCCCTACTGACTGACACTGTCCATTTTTAAGGTAGGCTAAGTTTGTATTTTTACGGTGGTATTTGTTTTATTATGTTTTTCTACATTTTCCTTGCTATTTAGTTAGGCCTCGCTAATTTTTTTTTTTTTTAAATGGCACTGAAACCCAGTGATCCTTGATCTCTTTCATGTTTTTTAGGTGGATCTCCACCTCTCAAAGGTTGCCTACCACTGTATTAGGGGGAGGAATAGTGCCCCATCATTGGTGTCAGTGGGAGAAATAGTGTCCCATCTTTGGTGTCAGAAGGAGGGAAAGTTCCCCATCGTAGATGTCAGTGGGAGGAATAGTGCCCCTTTAATAGTATCAGTGGGAGAAATAGTGCCATATTGTCAGTCTCAGGAACTAAGCCCAACTGTTGCTGGTAGTGGGGGTAATAATGGTCCAAGGGCTGCATAAAAAGCAAAGGGCCGCATCTGGTCCATGGGCCACAGTTTGGAGACAACTTCTCTACAGCACTGGAAAAATGTGTATCTTAGTTACATTATTTAGACATTTAAATCTGAATTCCAGGCAGATATAAAACACCAATGAATGCAGTTATGTGTTTACTAAAAAACATTTTTGTTTTAATATCAAATTCTTGTTTAGTAGAACATAGATTAGGGGAGGAAATTCTAGAACTATTAGGTGTACTGTGGGGGATAGCAGTGTGAGCTAAGGGATGAGCCCATCAGTCTACCGCTGCTCCTTAAATGTCCAATCATTGGAGAGGCGGAGGCAAAAAGGTGATCAGGCTGTACTGCTTAACTGCAGTAGAGAAAATTTAGGTTACAAACCTGATTGTGCTGTCTGGCAGAGCAGTGTAAAGTTAAGGACAGGAAATACAGAAATACAAATCCTTTGACAGGTAATGTACCTCCCATATTTTAGCAGTGTATTTAGACATTTGCCTAGAGTTCAGTTTTAATGTACAGAAAAAACACGTATCCCAATAGATTTCCTGCCCTGGTTGTTCTTCCTTTTCTAGTTCTCTTATCTGTTAGTATTTCTAGGTCATATAGTAACTTTATCTATTTATCAATACTGCAGTACATGCTTTGTAAAACGTTTCATACATTACAAAAAGATTCAGCTCAAATTAAATGTTTTCTTCATATCAAACCTTTAAGAGACTGGTTTTAGGTATACACAGCAAGTTTACTGTTGCTGATAACTTTCTGAAGAATTCTGTTGCAATGTCACCAAGACCTATTCCTTGGAGCCAGTCCAGAACCAGATCAAGGTTTGTGCGGATTTGGACAGCCTTTGACCACTGGTAGAATGGTTCCCCGTTACCTGAAAAATATGTGCTGTCAGAATAGTAACAGACAAGAAAAAATAAGACATATAAACTCACTTGCACAACAATAACAAAAGTGTCCATATTTTGCACATTTACTTGATTGAGTATAGTGAGGATTAAGTGAGAGCCTACATTTATAACATAAGATGTTTTTAGATGCCCACAAGAGAAGGTGGCACAGTGTCTTGCAGCATCAAAGCCCCATCATCAAGTCAACTCTACCTGGATAAATTATTCTCTTTGTATGGGTCACCTTTGTATGTTAGTCTATAATAGACATGTCTATATATTAGACCTGAACAGTGTCATGGTTTTTATGACTATGGTAACTAAGGGTGTCGCCACCATATTTCATGTAATGGTCATCTACCATTGTCATCTTGAGTAAAATGCTATTTCAATAAAGTACAAATTCACTTGTACCCAGCCATCCCTCCATATCCCCCTAACCTAATCTGAACTAGAAACACGTCCAACCCCAGTCCCATCCTGGTACATTTGTATCTTTTGCTAACAGTGACAGTCTGAATCTGCTCAGTAACACCCCATAGACTAGAACTAGGCCATATTCCTACCATCTCTAATGCTGGTGCATGGCCCCATTCTGGTCTATGGGGAGTCACTATTTGGGGCCTGAGGATGTACACAACAGAGGAAGCCACCACTGTCAGAGAGAGTTGGCACACAGGTGGGACCTGGTAAGAGAGGGGGCAGTATGTAATAAAAGTACATAGCTGATAATTAAAAGAGACTATCTTTTATGTTAGTCCCCCTACCTCCTTGCCTGTGGACAGTTGGCCTGGTAGAAACTTTACATTTATAGGCTTGAATAGAAGCAACTTTTCATTCATGCGTGCCTGTGGTAGCCTTTACTACTCAAATGATCAGCTAAAATTAGAACGATAAACCACACTTAATGATAAGTGACATCTATATTTTTCTGTCCTTACCACTATTGTAATACACTGGCAGAAAGTAATACCTTAATCTAAAACTGCAGCATAAATCAGTGTATACTACACAGAATTGGATTCCTGCTGGACCAATTAAAGAGTTAAGGGCTGGTGGTGTTATGGAAAAAGAAAGGCACGTCATTCTCTCTTTACAGTCCAGGCGACCTTCTGCTTCCTGCTGCGAAGGAAAAAAATGCTCCCAGCAGTCCTGAGAGCAAGGCTAGGAGGAAGCACACCACTTCCTGCAGATAACCTGCCAGGACAATGAGAGGAACTGCTACATTATGGATGCTGCATAAGACCAGCCCCTCCTCCATCAGAAAAGATGAGTGAGAGAATTAACCAAAGATGCTGCTAAGCAGAATGATGGAAAATCCAATGTTCCATCCCAGTTTCAGGCCAAGTACAGCAGATCACAGCATAACATCTTAAATGTATGCCATTGCCTATAAACCATTTGAAAGATTAAATTAATTATTAATTAAACTTTTACTTAAAATGTATTTAATTAAATTTCTACTTTTTATCTGTTAAGGTTAACAGTTGTTAATGTTAGCATACACTCTACAATTTTGATATTGCATTGCATTGATATTTCTGCTGGGGTCTGAGATCCAGGGACAGAATTATAGTATCAGGATTTGAAACTCAGATCAATGTTGTCATCATACTTAAGTTGGCATAGACAATCTCCATACACAGGATCCTTCACATATGTCTTTGAGTGTAGGAGCTTTTTCAGGTCACTATGCTGTGGCCACAATACCATCTTGAATCTCAATACATGTTTGTATGCTTGTGACAGCATACTCATTTGTGAGTATAAAGGACTTTGTTGGTGCTACAGGTGGGGAAGGTGGCTAGTCAGAGCCCATAGAGATTCTCAGGCTCCCATATAGGTGAACATATCACCTGCACTGCCTGTGGTGCAGTACAGGAGCCCTGAGGAAACATGGCAGTGCAATGGGGAGATGTTTTCAGCACAGGAAGGTAGGTACTGAAGAGAGTCCAATGTACAGTGCCCAGCTCTTCTGATGGCATATCAACCGGTCAATTAGCACTGAAAAAGATGCAGCTGAAGCTATTGAGCAGGGACACATCTGCCAAACATGTAGATGTGAGCAGCATGAAACAGCAATGAGTAGAAACAATATTAAGAAGTTGGATATGTGTTGAAAAAGCAATGGGAACCTAGTCTGTTTTTCTGTACAGAGACAATCTAGAATCTATGGGGTTGATTTACTAAAGGCAAATGCAGAGAGCAAGGAGGGAGTGTGGTCAGGAAAGGAGAAGTAGGGAGAAGGACTTAGAGTGACACAAGCTGGAATTGACTAGGCCAGAGCCCACAGCAAGAGCTGCTGTGTATGTGGAGAGAGAGATCCAGACGGGCACCAAGGTGAGAGGACTTGCTAAGGATGTGGACTATGAACCCCAAAGGAAGGAAAATGGTGCAGTCTGGCAGCAGAGCAGAAGACCCATGCAGGCATTCGATACAGGGACAGGCTTGATGGGGGAGCCTCAGAGTGTTGTGCTACCTCTTGCCTGGCCCCTAGGGAAGATATGTGAGCAATGCAGAGATGTCTTGGGATGGAGCAGCTTCTACTGTATCTGCCTTCATCCAATCCATTAGGACATTGTTTAATGGAGTTATTGCTATCAGGAAGAGAGGTATAGGTACATGGTATCAGTTTGGTGAGAGGCAATTTGGCCACCTCAGTGTGTATTAAAGTTCTCTGTTGCTCCTGGGATCTTACTGCTGCCAGCAGAGCTCTGTTTAGTGAGATTGCGTCAATCTTTAACTTTTTGAGACACTGCAGAAAGTTCCATTTACCTAAGGATTGGGAGTACCTTTAATTGAAGGTCAAATGCTCCTACATAAGTTCAAGGTCCCCATTGTAGGCAAAATCACTTTTATTATTTTACTGGCCAATGGCTACACAGGGCCTAAACATAGTAGTTAGACCAAATAATTATCTGCTTTACCTTATTTTTTAAGGGTATCTAGCTCAGCGACTGCCATTATTATTGTGGTAAAGTCATTCCTCCTTGGGTAAGCTCATGCATTCTGGCAGAACCACAGGCAACTAAGGGGATGAACATCATTTAGTTTGTTACGCTTATAATTGTTTTTGTAATTGACAGTGTTAGCCCTGTTACTGTTGACTAATGTTGTTTAATCAGTGTTCTATTTTCATTGCTTATTCCAGTCTAAATAAAGCCCTTGTTATTATTACTGGTGTGTAGGTAAGTTGTTGAGTCCAGTTAAGGTGGGTCACCATTGGGAATGGCAGGAGGAACCAACAACCAGCAATCCCTAGGGAATCCTTGTTACAGGTTCTTAACCAGACCGGTAAGATAAATTACCTTTTTCCATTAGGGTATTGAAGAGTGATGCATTGGAGAGAAAAAGAAGAGATAGCCAAATGTTTGGGACACAAGATCTGGATGCAGTTCACATTCCCGAGTTAAGTCCAGTGTAGCCTGGTAAATGGCAAGAGTTCCACGTGTGCCTTCTGGCATATTGCTCAGCTCTCCTACATCAGACAGACTGGCAGGATCGGTAAAAGGATTGCTCTCCAGAAGGGCTGGCAAAGCTGCATACAAGGTCTAAAAAGAAGGATAAAACACAATGTTGTTTTATAGAAAGAGCTTTACCAAAAGCTGTACTCTATATATGAGCTGAATATTTCTGATTTTGTTCAGCCATTCCCCCCAGATTTCTAAATAGCCAATACATTCATTAAAATCCTGTTTGTGATTGGCAATAACACATTCTCATAATAAAATGTTCCAAAGTGCCATGTTTCATGTCAGAGCTATATGGCTGGGTCTTCATTCTGGCTATCCTTGTACAGTGTGTGCAATTTTATTGGTAATATTGTGTACTGTATGTTCCGGTGCACTCACTCTGAGAATCATGTCTACAAGCAAACTGCTAGCTGAGAAGGCTAACAGTCTATTCACCTGTTCTATTTATCCATTCATGTTCTCCCTGTGCCTGCATGGGTTTCCCTCTGGGTACTCTGGTTTCCTCCTACAATGGCATCTGACAGTCCATCAGCTGTATTAGGCAGACATGTTGATGTGTTGAAAGCAGAAAAATTGGACATTGCAGCTTGATGTGTATAAGACTGCGTAATCGTGGGTGCCCATGCTGACCCATGTACCCAGCCAAAAGTGGCTACAATGGGCATGTAAGCATCAGAACTGGTCAACACAGTAATGGAAGGTGTCAAAAAACAATAAACAAAAACACCCAGCTCACTTATCAGCCACCCAGCAACAAACTGAATTACCCTGTCTAAGGGCCCTTTCACACCTAACGCAGTTGAATGCAGTTGGCTGCATTGTGAACTGCATTGAAACTGCATAGACAGTCCAAAATCCAGGCAATCCTATGGCCACAGTTCACACCACTGCAGTGCAGTTCAGTGCAGTGGAGAAAAGTACAGCATACTGCATTTTTCCACACCGCAAATGCACTACAAATGCACTGCAGCACATCACAGTGCACATAGAAGCCAAACAAAAAAAAAAAGAAGGAAGTGGTCTCAAAGGTCAAATGCAGTCAGAAAAGTGCACGCCAACTGCATGTAAAGTGCACGCCAACTGCATGCATAGGTACAAGGAAAAAATGTGCAGTTACATGCAGCTTCTGGTGTGAATGGGTCCTTACAGTTCATATTAACAAAAGGGGTTTTGTATGAACTGTTACGTTTCATGTACACTGGTTTATTGTAAATACTGTTTCTCCTGACAGGAGAAAATCAGCGTTAAAAGCTCACTTAAACTGTATTTTTTCAAACCAGTTAGGTGAGTTTACAGGTAAACTCTTGTCCTGAATGCAGTTTTTGTACTTTCAGAGAAATGCCAGTAAACTCCTCTATCCTACCTGGACACATAGGATAAGAGGAGAGTTCAGGGGCCCAATTGCTCCTAAATGTCAATGTAGCAGCTGCAGTGTACAAGAGGCCTTAGACAGGGTAATTCAGTTTGTTGCAGGCTGAATGGTAAGTGAGCTAGGAGTTTTTGTTTATTGTTTTTTTTTACACCTTCTTCCATTGCTCTGTTGTACAGTTTTGATGCTTGCATGCCCATTGTAGCGGCTTTTGGCTGGGGACGCAGGTCAGCATACGTATATACACTGCTCAAAATAATAAAAGGAACACTTTTTAATCAGAGTGTAGCACCAAGTCAATTAAACTCCTGGGATATTGATCTGGTCAGTTAAGTAGCAGAGGGGGTTGTTAATCAGTTCCAGCAGCTTTCGTGTTAATGAAATTAACAACAGGTACACTAGATGGGCAACAATGAGACGGCCCCCAAAACAGGAATGGTTTTACAGGTAGAGGCCACTGCCATTGCCAGAAGGTTTGCTGTGTCTCCCAGCACTGTCTCAAGAGCATGGAGAAGATTCCAGGAGACAGGCAGTTACTCTAGGAGAGCTGGACAGGGCTGTAAAAGGTCCTTAACTCATCATCAAGACCAGTATCTGCTCTTTTTTTGCAAGGAGGAACAGGATGAGCACTGCCAGAGCCCTACAAAATGACCTCCAGCAGGCCACTGGTGTGAATGTCTCTGAGCAAACAATCAGAAACAGACTTCATGAGGGTGGCCAGAGGGCCTGATGTTCTCTCGTGGGCCCTGTGCTCACTGCCCAGTACTATAGAGCTTGATTGCATTTGCCACTGAACACCAGAATTGGCAGGTCTGCCATTGGCGCCCTGTGCTTTTCACAGATGAGAGCAGGTTCACCCTAAGCACATGTGACAGAAGTGAAAGTGTCTAGAGAAGCCATGGAGAATGTTATGCTGCCTGTAACATCATTCAGCATAACCTTTTTGGTGGTGGGTCAATGATGGTCTATCCATGGAGGGACGCACAGACCTCTACAGGCTAGACCATCGCACACTGACTGCCATTAGGTATCGGGATGAAATCCTTGAACCCATTGTCAGACCCTACACTGGTGCAGTGGGTCCTGGGTTCCTCCTGGTGCATGACAATGCCCGGAATCATGTGTCGAAAGTATGCAGGCAGTTCCTGGAGGATAAAGGAATTGATACCATTGAATAGCCCCCACGCTCGCCTGACCTAAATCCAATAGAACACCTCTGGGATATCATGTTTCATTCCATCTGACTCCACCAGGTTGCATCTTAGACTATCCAGGAGCTCAGTGATGCCCTGGTCCAGATCTGGGAGGAAATACCCCAGGACATCATCCGTCGTCTCATTAGGAGCATACCCCGACATTGTCAGGCATGCAAACAAGCAAGTGGGGGCCATACAAACTACTGAGTACCATTTTGAGTTGCTGCAATGAAATGTCAGCAAAATGGCTAGCCTGTTGCATAATTTTTTCACTTTGATTTTCGGGGTGTCTTTGAATTCAGTCCTCTGTAGGTTTATCATTTTCATTACCATCAAACAATGGGGCATCCTTACGTTCCTAACACATTACTTAGTCCATATCAGTATAGATATCCAGCATATTTTTCCTCATTGAGATCTCATGCGTTCCTTTACGTTTTTGAGCAGTGTATTTGTAAGTGAATAAGTAAGTTGCAGAGGCCACTTCACGGCATCCCAGTATATCGGCAGTCCTAACTGCAGAGCTGGGAATTTTTGTTTGCTGTTTTTTGACATGCGTCACCCTTCCATATGCACCATGCTGAAAAAGCCAATTAGAGATTGGGGTGTTAGCATTTCTTTGTACTGTTGGTGAATTGGTGAGAGGATGCACTGCTTAGCTTTGCTGCCATTGTGCTCTTGGTGGGTGTCCAGTGTGTTCCTATACCTTTAAGGAGAAGTGGGCTCCCTCCAGGTATAACTGCCCTTAATTTATTAATTGTTATATATATGCTCCAACTTTGAGGACTCTCAAAATTTTTAGAGTTAGGACTGCAGATATACTGGAGTGCCATGAAGTGGCTTCTGCAGCTTACGCATATATTTGCAAATGTGTGGAAACTAAACCCCTTATTTAACATGAACTGTTAGACAGGACAATTTGGTTTCATGAAAGCTGGCTGGTAAATGAGCTGGGGAATTTTTATTTGTTGTTTTTTCACATGTGTTGCCCTTCCATGTGCTCCTTGCTTCAAAGGCCAGTTACACAGGGTGTCCCTAACATCTGGACACATAGACAAAATGCATATTTTCAATAAATTTCAATACATTTTTAAACATAATTTTATTTCATTGGAATATTAATCAATAACATCTTCAATGTGATTTCCACCATTTGTGATGCAAAGTTCCATGTATTTTTTCAAGATTCACATGAACCCAATGCAGTAACTCCACATTTCGTAAATTTCAGCACATTCGTTCATGATGCATTCCTTCAGGTGATAATTATCTGTGGTTTTCATTGAGTACACTTACTTCTTTAGCATACCCCAAAAAAAGAAGTCAAGGGGATAAGGTATGGTGAGCTTGTGTATATATATTACATACTCACATATATCAGAGTGATATTTCCTATGTGTCCAGACTTCAGGGACACCCTGTAGATTGGGGTGGTTGATATTTGTTTGTACCAATGACCTGGTCTGATGAATCACATTTTCCTTTATATCATGTCTGAGTGGGTGTGCATTGCTTCTCTGGGATGGCATCAGGATGCAGTATGGGAAGAAGGCAAGCCGGCAGAGGCAGTTTAATGCTTTGGGCAATGTTCTGCTAGTAAACCTTGGGTCCTGCCATTTATGTGGATGTTACTTTGAAACATACCACCTACCTTAACATTGTTGTTGACCAAGTACACCCCTTCATGGAAACAATATTACTTCAGCAGAAAAAGGCACCCTGCCACACTGAAAAAGTGGTTTGAGGAACACAACAGTAACTTGGAGGGGTTTACTAGGCCTCCAAATTCTCTGGAACTCAATCCAATCAAGCATCTGTGGGATGTGCTGGAAAAACAAGTCCAATCAGTGGAGGCACCACTTCACAAATTGCAAGATTTAAAGGATCTGCTACCAATGGCTCAGTGCCAGATACCACGGCATACCTTCAGAGGTCTAGTGGCATCCATGCCTTGATGGGTCAGGGCTATAAAGGCAGCAAAGGGGCTGTTTGGGAGGCAAAAGGGGGACCTTCACAATATTATGTGGGTAGTTATAAAGTTATGGTTGATCAGTGTATATTCCAAATCATTTCTTAATAAAAAAAATACTGTAAAACATGAGCAACACTAGCACTGGGCACCTGGGTCACGTGTCCAGCATCGCGGTGTCTCAGGCTCCAACACTATGACCCCCAGCAACTGCAACAACTGGCTTTTCTCCACAACACACTGCCTCTGAAAAGAGACAATTATGCTGGGGCCATAATGCTTAGGTGGCAGATTTATACTGGGGGGGGGGCATAGAGAGGAGGGTTTGGGGGTGGTAAAGATTTGTGCTGGGAAGTGAGTTTGGGGGGGGATTTTTTATTGGGGAGAATTAGGGTTTACAGAGGAAATTTGTGCATGGGGGTGAGCATGCAGGTTACTGCTGGAATGTTTTTTGGGGGGAGAGGAGATTTTTGCTAAAAGGTGAACATGGGGAGAGTATTGTTAGGGGCGGGGAGGGATGTTGCACTCTGTGCATTACATACCCCTGATCCCACACACCGTCTGCTACATTATCCTGATCCCGTGTACTCTGAGTTACACACCACTAACTCCTGCACTATTTGTGTTAATTACTCCTGACCCCTGCGATCTGAACATTACACTCTCCTGACCCCTGCACTCTGTGCTTTACACATCACTTCTGTCCCTTGCACACTGTGCATTCGGTAAGCCTGACCCCTGCACTTTGTGTGCTACATACTCCTGCACTATATACACTATACTCTCTGTAATCTCTGATCATTTTAATGAAGTTCAGAGCGGATGTAAAGGCAAGAGGGTTTGTTGCCTTCATGCATTCTATATTTTTAGGTACAAGAACTCTTGCATGTGTGCAGTGTATGCAGCAAGTAAGCTCGAGTTTTATTTAACCATGCTCTTGTAGGCCCCTAACACTGTTAAGACAATGTGTCCATATCCACTGCTCACCACAGCGCAGTACATGCACTTCATCTTTACTCTCCTTGAGGTGCTCCTGGTCATTTACAATCCTAGCAACCCTTCTGCTGTAGAGTGTAATAAGACTCCTAAAAGACTCCTAAAAGGGCCTTTAGGACAAACCCATTTGCTTATCACAAATACTACTTTCTACTTTGCTATGGTCTAGAAGCCAACACATAAGTGTAACTAGAACATGGAGCGATCAAGAGATTGGAACTGATGAGATTGTCATTTAGTCCTGGTTCACACTGATGTGATGTCTGATGTGTTCTGGAAAGTATAAATGGGTGCAAATACCAAGCACAATGAGGTTCCAGGGGATATGTAGATATCCACAGTATGGGCAGCACCAAGAACTCATCTGACCAGCAATGAGACAGGAGCACAAAACAACAAATAACCCCATAAAAATCAATGGAGTCACAAGCCTAGCATCAGTTAAAATCAAAATTCACTTTAATGTTGGGTTAAAAAGCATGACATGTAGGAGTATCATGTCATGACCAGAGGAAGGGGCAAGTCCCTGAAACATCATGATGACCAGCTTCTCTCCTTTGGTTTGACATGGTTTGAGAGCTCCCCTAGGCTTCCAGTTTGCCCTCACCAGCCATTGTTCGGGCAGTCTCTCGCCAGGTGTATGACATAACAACAAGATCTGGTACACGTGACTTCCAGTGGACGTGCCATCCCAGCGGCTGCCATGCACACACCCTTCTCACTGTCCTGAGGCTTCTGGGCTAAGCAACCAACTGTTGGGTCCAGGATCATGTGTCATCCTGCAGCTTCTGGGAATATGTGTTTCTCCTCTCCACTGGCTTGGTGATGTATCAGTCTGGACTCCTACATGTCATGCTTTTTAACCCAACCTTAAAGAGAATTTTGATTTTAACCGTTCCTAGGCTTGTGACCCTATTGACTTCCACTGGGTTTGAAGTGCTCCTTTGTTTTTTTTTTTTGTTCTGGAATGTATGGAATCGCATGTCAAGTAAAATAACATGTAATTATTGAAAGTGTACTATCAAAAGGTTTACAGATATGAAATTGGATATATAATGTATTCTAGATAGCCCAAGTTGAACAACTATATAGGCAGGGAACTTCAGGGTAGAGCATTGTCTAAACCAGTGGTCTCCAAACTGTGGCCCAGGGGCCAGATGCAGCACTTTGCTTGCTTTTATCTGGCCCTTGGAGCACTATTTCATCCACTGACACCAACAATGGGGCATAATTCCCCCCAACTGATACCAATAAAGGGGCGCATTTCATTCTAATGACACCAATGAAGGGGCACAATTCCTCCCAATGACTGCAACAATGGGGCACAGTTCAACCCAATGACCCTAACAATTGGGCCCAATAACATCAATGAAGGGGCACAATTCCTCCCAATGACAAAACGATGGAGCACAGTTCCTCTCATTAGCCAACAAATGGGGCATTGTTTTCTCCCACTGATACTGGGACATTTTCTATTCCCAATGTCCACGGTCTGGCCTCTGTAAAGTTTGAAGAACAGTGAACTGGCCCTTTGTATATAGTATATTATATTGTATATAAGTTTGGAGACCCCGGTCTAAACTGTTATGGGTCTTTCCAACCTATCTCACTGACAACATAAGCCCAAAACGTTTCCCTTTAGATATATGTGTCTTCCAGCGGACCAGTAGGTAGAGGAGGTTTTGTGTGATATGTGTAGGCAAAATATAAAAAAAGATAACATTTTCATTATGTACAGCATCTACAAAAACAAATCTTAAAAGCTTAAATGATTGCTGAAATATAATAACTACATTCAGAACTATGAAGTGCAGAACTGTAAATTATAGCCCCATATAATAAAACTATATTACATACCTTAGTAAGATAATACACACATTGTTGGAAAGTATACATAATGACCTCATCAAGAAGGGCCATAGACTCCTCACATGCCTCCAGGTCACTTGAAAGCAAAGCATCCTGGGAAGATGCTGGAAGAAAGAAAAAAAAAATAATATTATTATCATTATTAATCTTACAGAAGTAGTAGTAGCTAGTAGCAATGTTTTTCCTTATCATCATCATCCTGATTATATGTGTGGTACATTGCAACAATTCTGCTCATAGTCTTTACTACTGCTGATCACACATTTCTACTTATTCTCACTAGTAAATCTGTATTACATGGTAGTATTTCATTACAAGGGCACTATTTTTGTCACCTTTTTAACCTATTTTGACAGACAATTACTAAATTGCATTTGTGGATTAACTGCCTGTGCTAGCTGTCACTTACAGGTCTGTATTTTGATTAGTGGAACCTATAGGCACACAGCTTTTGGTGTGACACACCTCTGATAGATACACTTAAATTACACAAAAGGTTTCTTAGTTTGGTGGTCCTTACACGGATTAGAATAAATATATTTATTCATGGCAAATAGTTTTATATGAGATGATCATTTGCACTAATGATAGATTTAAAAAGAAGTGCAATCAGTATCTCTACAACCAACTGTTTGGCCCCTGTGTCTTATAGCCTTATGTGCTTAATGGTAAATCTGGCCCTGGTAAATCATAATATTGGAGAACTTCTATTCTATTCTGCACAAAATATTAAATGGGACACATAAAACAAGGGTGATATGTATCCATAAAACAAGGGTGATATGCAGGCTACCACTGGACACTGGTAACCTCACCCACTCTGTAAGAATCTAGTGTTTTGCTACTATCCTGCTGTGGCTCTCCACGGGTAGTTGTGGCCACTGGCCTCATTCAGTTTAGTGATAGGACACCTGTAGCCAGCAATTACCTAACATAGCCATATGACGTCATCACGTTAGGAGGAACAGGAAGTCGGACATCCTGGTATGGTATCCTAAGCCAAAGCTTGTTCTTAAGGTCAATTTATTAAAAGGGCAATTGTTTTTATGTGCACTAGGTGTAGTGCACTTATGCTGAGTGTGATTTTAATCCTGCTTCTTAATGAATTACATTTGCGTGATAATATATTGCGCAACGAGTGCTATTGTTGTTTCCTGGAGTTGACTGATGATGTATGGAGGAGTGCTCATGGTACATGTGACAGAAGATAATATTGGGGTGACGAGGAGCATTGACCCTATTTAAAGGGCAAGGCGCAGATAGACCTCACATTGCAGTGGGTCAATATCCTCAGGTAAGTGGTTTGGTTGGAAGGTGGAGGAGCACATGTATCTGGTGATGATTAATTAATCATAACTTCATGCAGAATCTAGCACTTTTATGATGGAGGACAACACGACAATATACAAATTATTGATATTCACAGAAAAAGTGATTTTGGGACTTTTTTGGCTGAATGTTAGGACATCTAGGATATATACTGTACATATCTATATGTGTAGCCTCCGCACTAAATATGTGCCCAATTAAAAATGGTGCAAAAAAATGTTTTTTTTATAAATATATCCAGCACCCTATTTAAAAGATGTACACAAAGTGCTAGATCGCAAATAAAATACATATAAAATGCAAACAACAACTGCCACCTTATATAAAAAATGAAAGAGTACTTTCATGTAAAAAAAAGTCCTTCACAGTAGCACTGTAAATAAAATACACCGCAGAAAAAAAATGATGAATCAATTAACAATACTGATTCCTAATCAAATAAGTCCATGATATCAACTGAGTGCAGATTTAAGTGCTCCAATTGTCTTCATAAACATGCCACTTTTCATCCCAAAAAACACCACCATGTGCTCATGAGAAATCACTCCCTTTTGGGTATTCACTCACATGACATACATGCCTCCCACTCTCATGATTGGCATGATTACCTTGTGAAACTTCACATAAAACCTCTGCAGTGTAAAACCATCATAGAACTCCACACTCCTCTACACCAGGTATCATCGCCATGGAAAGAAAAAAAATAAACTCCAACGGTACAGTAACCAATATACACACTTTATTAAGAAATAAAAAGCCACTCACAAAGTGAGTAAATTAAAATTTCTCATCATATACAGTACACCTATGGAATGGAGTCAGACATGGTCATCTAGTAGCAACTCTCAACACCGATGGACCACACTGCCACATCACGCACTGATACGTTTCATCACATCCAACTTAGTCATAGGGGATGGCTGTACAGCGCAGCGACTACTTATTTATATACACTCCTCTTCACTACTATTGGTCAGTATTTACCATTAGGCAGAAGAACGCGAGTAGCTCCCTCTTGGTCACAGGGCCCACTGTACATTCACAGAGATTATTCCAACTGTGCATTTGATGCCCTTCATTGCTGGGAAATCTCCAACTGTGCATTTGACGCCCTTCATTGCTGGGAAATCTCCAACTGTGCATTTGACGCCCTTCATTGCTGGGAAATCTCCAACTGTGCATTTAACCCCCTGATGCTGGAAATTTTACCATTAAAGGGAACGCATTCTCATAGTGCCCTCCCAGCCCCAGAGCCCACTGCACATTCACGGAGGTTAATCCAACAGTGCATTTAACCCCCCCCCCCCCTTTTGCCGGGAAATAATAAAAAAAATTATCCTAGGGCAGTCCCTAGAGTGTACTCATATAACCGTGCCCCCCTCCATTGCCAGGAAATAATAAATGCTCCCATCATGGGCGGACTGACCATTTGGAAACTCGGGCACTGCCCGAGGGCCCGGGGGTCAGTAGGGGGCCCCATGAGATTCCCCTGGTACCTTTTTTCATAGACTTTTTTGAGTTTGGGCAAGGACACAGGGGCCCCATGATCCCCTATTGCCCAGGGGGCCCCATGAGTTGTCAGTCCGCCCCTGGCTCCCATTATAAACTACCAAGACAAGTTTAGATTGAAAAAATTACAATAAAAGTTATAAGAGAAATGTTGATACTATACTGGCCAATAATTGCACTTCATAATGAAGAGGTGGTAAACATTACTACTATTCCTTAAAATAATTATTTATACTTACGGAGCGATACCAGTACATAAGAATTACATACATAAATAAATATCAATACATAAATAAAAAGAAAAAAAACATAAATAAACAATCTATTTAAATGAATAGTAATTCAAACATCCAGTTAGACTCAACATATCTATATTTATAAGCCCAATAATATACAGTACTTAAAGATCACTATTGTATTGCTAGAAAACATTTTTTTTTCCAATTGCTTACATTATTTTTGGCCATACAACAGGTTTTACACTTTTAGCAAGCAGTGAAACCCTTCATCTGAGGAAACAGCAAGGGCCTCCCTTGAGGATCCAAAATCTTTTTTACAACCTTCTCCCCAACGTTACATGCCCTCCTATACACAAATCTAGGAAAGCGTGGTAACACTGGCCCAAGCAACTTTATCCATTAATAGGATATGCCAGTGTTTATGAGAAATGGATTCTATCTCTCTATACTGGCAAAGGTAATCTGAAATGAAGCAATCAGAAAACTTTTTTTTTAGCAATACAGGATGTGAGCATGATATCCCTGAATTCATAACTTGCGATACAGCGCACGTGGTCTATGTTCCCCAGTGCCAATGTTGGTTGATTTATGTTGGATGCACAAAACGATCATTACAAATAAGGAGAACGGAACATATCAAGAATATTAAGAAAGGGTATAGTTATCATAGTGTGTCAGATCACTTTTCACATTGTCATGCAAGAGATCCATCTCTAAGAGATCCATCTAAACTGCAATTCTGAGGAATGTTTCCCTCTTGGAGGGTTTCCACTACAGTTAGGGACCTCTCCAGGAGGGGAACAAAGTGAATTTATATTTTACAGACAGTACATTAGTACTGATGACTTAAACATTGAGCCAGATATTAATTGTTTTATCAGTGATCTTTAAGTATATTAATGGACTTATAAATATAGATATGTTAAGTCTAATTGGATGTTTGAATTATTATTAACTAAAATAGATTTTTTTAAATGTATGTATTGATTTTATTTATGTATTGATATTTATTTATTATGTAATTTTAATGTATTGGTATTACTCATTAAGTATAAATAATTTATTTTAAGGAATAGTAGTAATGTTTACCTCCTCTTCATTATAAAGTGCAATTATTGGCCTGTATAGTATCAACATTTCTCTTATAATAATTTGTATTGTAATTTTTTAATTTAAACTTGTCTTGATAGTTTATAATGGGAGCAATTATTACTTCCTAGCAACACGGGGAGGCCCGGTTATATGCATACACTCTAGGGACTGGCCTAGCACGTTTTTTATCAATATCCAATCACCTAAAGGTAGCCTGCATATAACCCATTGTCTATGAATACAAGTCCTGTGTCCTGTACTGTACTGTACTTTGCGGTAAGTAATTTACAGGTAAGTCAATTCATTTATTAGCTGAAAGCCATGCATTAGGAAATTGGAATTAGGAAAGTCTGTATCTGACTGAGATATATACAGAATAATAGTTTTCTGCTACAGCTGCTTAATGCATTTAGCAAAGAACACACAGATAATAATGAAAAAAATAACACAGACAGAATTTTTGGTCCATTAATGGAAATGTTGCTATTTTTGTGTACTACAAGAAGCAAAGATGTGTTTGTTAACTGTGTGTTTCAATTATTCCAGAGATGATGAAGAAATTATAGATAATGTATATTTTTGTTTCACTGTGGGCTTATATGATATCTGCAGTGATTCCAAAAACTTTCAAATATGATATTAAAGTATTGCTAAACCCAAGACCTTGCATTCACTATATGCAGTCTTCCACAGTGCACAGAACATGGAAACACAATGATTTTAGTAAATATAAACTGCTAAATATCTTTTCACATCAGCAGTATATAGCAGTCTTTTGACTTTTAGCAGTGTCTGGCCGAGTACTAGTTAAAGCTTGTAGGAGTTTTCATTCTTCTTTGACTATCCTATGAGGCTGCATGACCCCTG